TAATTCTTTTGCTAGGATTTTGTTGAGAATTTTTGCATCTATGTTCATAAGGGATATTGGTCTATAATTTTCTTTCTTAGTGATGTCCTTCCCTGGTTTGGGTATAAGAGTTATGCTTTTATGCTTGCTTCATAAAATATATTAGAAAGTTTCCCATCCTTTTCTATATTCTGGGATAATTTGAGTAGAATAGGTGATGACTCTCCCCTGAATGTTTGGTAAAACACACCAATGAAGCCTTCTGGACCTGGACTTGTTTTGGTTCAGAGTTCTTTGATGGAACTGATCAATGTCTTCTGTTGGTACAGGTCTGTTCAAATTTTCTACTTCACTTTGTGTGAGTTTAGGTAGTTTGTGTTTTTCTAAAAATGTATCCATTTTTTTAATTTTTAATGTAGATTTTTTTTAATTTGTTGAAGTACAACTCTTCATAATATTCTGTTATCCTTTTCATTTCCATTGGTTGTGTTGTGACATCACCCCTGTGGTTTCTTATGCATGCTATCTGTGTCTTCTGTCTCTTTTCTTTTGTTAGGTTTGCTTGGTTTGTCAATTTTATTAAGCCTTTTGAAGAACCAGCTTTTGTCCTGTTGATTCTTTATATAGTTTTTCTGTTTTCTATCTCCTTTATTTTTGCTCTAATCTTTATTGTTTCTTTTCTTCTGGTGACTGCAGGTTTACTTTGCTCTGGTCTGTTTCTAATTGTTAGCGATGTTGTTTCAATGTGTTGATTTTGGTTCTTCTTTTTGGATGTGTGCATTTAATCACCGTGTTAATTAGTTTCCATGTGTTTGACTTTATTTCCTTGGTCTTCCTTCCTATTGTCGATTTCTAATTTTTAACGTTGTTATCTGAGAAAATGCTTTGTAGTTTTTTTTTTGTTTTTTTTTTTTTTTGATGTTTGTAAATTTATGGAGGCCTGTTTTGTGGTCTAACACATGGTCTATTCTGGAGACTGTTCCATGAGCACTGGAAAAGAATGTGTATTGTGTTGTTGAGTTGAATGCTGTGTACACATTTATGAAGTCAGGTTGGTTGATTGCATTGTTTAGTTCCTCTGTGTCTTTGTCAAGTTTCTTTCTGGTTGTTCTACCCTTTTTCAAAAGCAGTGTATTAAAATCTCACACTGTTATTGTAGATTTGTCTATTTCTTTCTTTAGTTTTATTAGCGTTTGCTTTGTATATTTTGGGGCTTTTTCAGTGAGAGCATAGGCATTTATTATGGTTATCTCATCTTGTTCAATTGATCCTTTAATCATGAGACAATGTCCCCCTTTTTTTTTTGTCTCTTAAGCTGGTTTTTGCCTTAAAAGTTATTTTTATCAGAGATTAGTATTGCCACTTCTGCTCATTTTGATTGCAATTAGCTTGGTATATTTGTTTCCATCGTTTAACTTTTAATTTGCTTTTGTCTCTGTGTATAAGGTGTGTTTCTTGCAGACAGCTTATTGAAAGATCTTGTTTTCTTATCTATTCTGCCACTCTGTCTCTTCACTGGTTCATTTATTCTGTTGACATTCAGTAAAATTATCAATAGATTTGAATTAATTGCTGTCATTATGTTTTTGGGTTTTTGTGTGTGTGTGGTACTGCTGGTTGGTTTGTTCTGCATGCCTTCTTGTGCTGAGTTCATGTTTCTTGTTTTTTCTTTTCAGTTTCTTCATAGTTTTAATGTTTTTCTTGGAGTTTCAATTTCTTAGTATGTTGTGAAGCATTAAATTTTTCTTTGAGGTTACCCTTAGCTTTTTTCTCCTTTTAAAACAGTCAGTCTATTTTATACTGCAGTCTACCTGACCTCCTCACCACCTGGATCTCTGTTCCTATATTTCCCCCTTCTTTCACTTTGTGATTGTGTTGATAATATGTTGACCTCCCAGATCCTCTGAATTTGTTCTTGTAGTTTTGTTCTGTTTTGGACTCTTATCTGTTGATTGAGTTCTGGGTAGTGTTGGTTTTCAGTCCAAAGAACTTTCTTTAGGATGTTTTGAAGTACTGGGGTGGGTTTGACAAAGTCCTTTAGCTTCTGTTTATCCTGGAATGTTTTGATTACGCTGTCATATTTGATTGACAGCTTTGCTGGGTAGACAATTCTTGGTTGGCATTTTTTATGTCTCCCATTGCCTTCTTGCTTTCATGGTTTCTACTGAGGGATCAGAGCTTAATCTTATTTGCTTGCCTTTGTAAGTAACACTTCTCTTTTCCCTAGCTGCTTTCAGAATTCTCGCCTTTGATTTTGGAGAGCTTGATTATGATATGTCTTGATTTTCTTTTGGGGTCTGTCCTTTCTGGGGTTCATTCATTATCTTTTAATTCCATACTTCTGCAAACTTTTCAAGCCCCTGCATATTTTTCTATCAAATATTTATGGCTTGGCTGTTAAGCTTGGGTTTTGTTTTAATGTTCATTGATTATTTTATGAGGGAAAAATAGCCTGAAAGAAGAACTTTGGTGCTGGGGACCAGCCGCGACACAATTATTAGAAGAGTCTCGATAGGAGGATGTGGAGTCGGCGAATGAGAAAAAAAATAAATAAAAAAAACTCAGAGTCAATGGGTCATTTTGAGTCTCAGGCAGATGGTGGTAATGGCTCTGTTCTGATGACTCCCCTTCTGACTGCTGCCTTGACTGTTATTTCAAAATTGTTGCTTCTTATATCCCATTTAGAACATACTATGATCTCATAACAGTCACGTACAAGCAGTTACAAATCAATCAAGTATTGTTACATCAACGGTATAAGAGGAACACAAGGTCACCAAACATTCCTGTGTCTCTATACTCCTTAGTTACTCCTTAATTACCGTGATAACGTCTGCCTTCTGTGAGCGACTCTGTTTCTCTCTAATTCTCCCTAAAATGTCTAGTTTTGTTTTAAACAAAGTTAGTTTTAAACAAAGTTCTACATCTTAATTTCTAACTTTACCAACAACTATTACTTTCTATAGATTCATTAGTTACAGCTTACAATCAAAAACATAATTTTTACTATAACTGGTCATACATATACTTGATTAAACAATAAAAACAAGAACATAAAAGTACCCTAAAGTTTCATAATTAAAAACAAAGCAGTAATTCTCTCATGCTAACAATTTCTCAAAACTTCCAATCAAACTCTTGTCTCTGTTCCCAAGCTCTCACTGCCCTTGACTGTCTCCTAAGCTGCTTTCTAAAAGCCTTCATGTCATTGACTAAAACCACCTGGAATGTTTCTTACAATTTTAAGCTTGAATTGCTAAAACTTTAGCTAGTGTGGTTATTTCTAATGTTAAAACTTAATGTAAAAAACAATTTTTATAATTACATAAGATTGAATATGGTGTGAAAGTTAATGTTAATGTGAAAGGCAACTATTATAATGTGTGGTTTGTTTAAAGTATCTAATGATTATGCAAGATTTTCTAAAACTTCTTATAAGAAATCAGAAATAAACTATTTTTCCAAGGGAGAGCTAGAAACCACGGGTCCCCTGCATGAGTCATCCCTTGTAGCTTTGCTATCCAAGGGAGGCATTCATTGTCGCTCTGCTAAACAATGAACTTTTCATCCATAAGGCTTCTCGCAGTTCTGCTCCTTGGCAGGATGGCTTCTGCCACTTTGGAAATGAAGCTTTTTTCCTTTCCAAGCTATTTCACTGGGCTGAAGAATAACAAGAAGAAACATTTGAAATGCATACATACCATAGTTATAGATCTTGTTATGCTCCCATTATTTATAAAATTTTAGCATGTGGAGACATGGCTGATCTCTTTGTATTCTTTTGTTTTTGCTTATTACTGTGTTAATATTTTAACTTGTTAATTTGCAGCTTACAAGACAAGTGTTCTAAAGTTTCTGAAGACGCAACCGAAACCATCACTGAAGAAGCTGTTGAAAAACCTCCAAAGAGGAAAAAGAAGAAGAAAGACCTAGAGCCTTACGAAGTGGAAGGTAACACTGCAGAGCTAGTGGATGCCGCTGCAAAGGAAGGAACAGACCTGCAGACCAGTGACAATGTGCATGGCCTCGGCGAGGAGGAGCCAAAGAAGAGGAAGAAGAAGAAGAGAAAGCACCATGGAGATCAGGAGCAGGACCCTGCTTTCCAAGGCAGTGACTCCAGTGGTTACCAGAGTGACCACAAAAAGAAAAAAAAGAAAAGAAAACACAGTGAGGAGGCTGAACTTACCCCCATTTTGGAACAATTATCTAAAAAGAAACGGAAAACGTAACTTCCTTTAATGTGTTTTAAATGTGATTCAGATTTTTAAAGTTTGGCTGACACGTAAATAAATGTTTTAAATGGTGTGACATGTAAATGTTTATAAACAGGAAATGTTTTATTAAGAGAGGTGTGTGTGGGTAAAATGATAAAACTGCCTATGAATTCATTTCAGGATTCATGAATTCTTCCGGAGTTTACATCTAAATAGAATTATTTCTACAATATTGAGACTAGCAAAAGTACTTTATCTTACAGTATTGTTCATATCATAGTGTTCTGGTGATTTGGTGGGTTATGCTTTGAGCTATTAGTAACATGGTCAGCAGTTTGAATACACCAGTCCTGTGGGAGAAAGATGAGGCTTTCTGCTCTGGTAAAGATATACAGCCTCAGACACCCTGTAGAGGGCTGCTATGAGTTGGAACTGACACCACAATGGCACACAACAAACTATTCATATCATTAAAGAATGAATCTAGTTTTGACATTTTCCCTTTGTTTTTTGACAGTAGATTCCAATTTCGCCTTTATATTGCATGCCATTTTGTTTCACTTTTTTAAAAAATTCAGGACATTTGCTGCTTTTTAGGTTTTCCTTTATCATGGCAGGATTATATATTTGTTTAGCTTAAAATGGTTTGCCAAAGGAGGTTCTGAAGTATCCACATGTTTTAGGAACCATGCCATTACTGGTTGTGTGGTGGGAAAAATTCTTACTATTCTTTTCTTCCAAGTGTGTGTTGGTATTTATTTTATTTTTTTCTCTTTAAGCCTGGGAGGTTGATGGAGAGGATCATTTACTGATACTTGTTCATTTTGCCTCAACCATTTTGCTTTTATCATCAGTTGGAGGAAGAGAAACTGATGAAGATGAAATAAATGTGATTCAGACTAGTGATTATTTCTTGATTCTTTTCGGTGGGAGGGGAAAGTGGGTAAGAGTAAGAGGTAGGGTTTGGACAAGAGCTAGATCTAGACTAGGACTTCATTTATTGTTATTGGTATAATTAGGACTTGCATTAGTGTTACAGGTAAGGATCTAGTTTTATTTTATTTACATCTACTTGATTTTCTCTTCATTTGAAAACTTTGTTGTTGTTTGTTGTTGCTATGTGCCGTGGAGTTGGTTCCGACTCACAGTGACCCTGTACAGGGTTTCCAAGGCTGTAAATCTTTACTGTATGATTTGTTGAATGTAAAACTGATGATCACATATGCCCTGTAAACTTTGACTCAATCCACAATAAAAACCTTAAAAAACAAAGTCGTTGAGAAGTTGAACAAACTCCAAGCAGAATAGACTCCAAAAGGAAAACATCAAGATGTGTAATAATCACACTTTTCAGAACCAAAGCCTTTCCTCTTTTCTCTCCTATCTCCAGGTCTAATGGGAATCTATGGAACATGGTTGAACTCAGCCCATTTCTTCATTGCTACCTTTCCCCTTCCTCCATTCACCAGTAGACAGGCATGGGCACCAGCAAGCTTACATGCCTGCGCATGTGTTCCCTTTGAGTTTCAGTCTTAGGGGGGGTCGATAACTTTCTTGTCTTTCATGATGTTAGGAAAGTTTTCTTCCCACATCTCTGGGACAGTGTTTTCTATGGGCTTTTTTGTCTCTTCCTGTTCTGGAATTTCTATTACAGATACGTTATTCCTCTTGATTGTTGTTGTTATGTGCCGTGGAGTCTTTTCCGCCTCATAGTGACCCTGTACAGGATTTCCGAGGCTGTAAATCTTAAAGGAGCAGAAAGCCTCCTCTTTATCCCGCGGAACAGCTGGTAGTTTCGAACTGCCGACCCTGAGGTTTGCAGCCCGATTCATAACCACTACGCTACCAGAGATCCTTTTCCTCTTGATAATGCCCTATATAAATCTTAAGCTTTCTTTGGAATTTTTTGTTCTTTATCTGATGGTTTCTTTAGCAGATGAATATTGAGCGATATTTTTCTTCCTGCTCAATAATTCAATTTTCCATTGATTCAGTTTTGTTTTCATTGCCCTTTCAATATGTCTGTTTCTGAAGTCTAGTGTTAATTTTCTGGCTGTCTAATTGCTGGTTTTGCATGAATTCCTTTTTCTCAATTATTTTGTCTTTTTAATGAATTTTCCCATAATTTTGCCAGTGTTCTTTGAATTCATCTGTACTTTTCTCAGTCTTTCTCATAATATATTGAAATTGCATAATTGGTTTTCTTTTAAATTCCTTATCAGTTACCATTCTGGTGTTACATTTTCTTACTTTGTATTTTGGTGAATTTGAGACATCCTGTCTTGCTGCTTTGTGTAACCTGAAATGATCTATTTGCTCTCAGACATTGTGGTACTGTATTTATATTACTTGATGATTGTGTATTGATGTGTTCAGGCACTCACCCCGTTCCCTCTTGGATGTCATAGAGACTAAAAGTGTGAATACAGTTCTCTGTTCACTGTTTGTGCAGTATAGTTCTGGGAGGGTTCACGCACCTCCAGAAGCAGGGACTCTGTCATACTCCCGCCCTAGCAGAACAGAGGCAGTGAGGGGGTACCACTGGCCACTGGGTTGGTGAGGGTGGGAGCTGGCTATGACCTTGGTTACCAGGAAGGCATGAAAACAAGGAAGAATTGCACCCTCTTGCTACCAATCTCCAGCCTTGTCCTGCACTCGCAGGCCACTGTATCAACAGTGACTTGCAAAAGCTCAAGATGGCTGCACGATGCCATGCAACCAAGACTTTTCCTTCTCTCTCCCTGCTCCTGCGCAGCTGCCTCTTCCAGTGAATACTCAGTTTACCTCGGTCCTATCCTCTGAAGCTCAGGGTCCCAGGATCACCAGCTGTAATTGTTTCACTCGGTCTCCCATGTCATTGTTGCAGAGGGTTCCATTTGCTTACTCCCCCATCTTGCCCTGGGCTCCTCCAAATTACTGTTTAATGATTGGACTAGGCTACTAGAAATTATTTTGAAAACAGTTGTCATAGCTTTCATTTAGAAAATATGGAAAGTATCTTGATAATGGGAAAGCAGTCATTAAACAGTGATTTGGTTCTGGCTGGTAATCAGTGCGTGGCCATATTCATGCATTTAGCAAATATTTGACGGTGACTGCCACGTTCTTCCTAGAAAGCATCGTAACATTCTGCCAAACAAATAGGTCTAGTTCTTTTACAAAGTGTCACAAGAAACAGATTCATACACAGGCACACAATATGAATGAGAAAATAACTAGAAATTGTGCTAAGTACTATAAGGAAAAAAAGATTATCCACACTGTTTTCACTGTGTTATTATCTACACATTAATGGGTGATTGAACTTCCCAAGTTAGTCATCTTTGCTGTCACTTACTGCCTCATACTGCTTAATATAGGATAGTATATCCTGCTGTGTGATTTCTCTGGAGTTAAATCTGTAATAAGATGTAGAGTTTGAAGAGTGACAGACACAAATCTCTACAAGTACATGTACCAGGTAGTAGAAGAGTACAGATAAGAGTCCAGGATATATATATATATATATGGCTATTAAGCCCTTGAAGCATGCCTAGTCCCACTTAAGATGTTTCATTGGGTTCAGTTGAGTCAGTTATGACTCACTGTGACCTTCATAACTGAATGAATCCCTACTTTGGGACTGTGACATACTCAGCCCTTGCCATGTTCAAGCTCGTTGTTGGCAACCACTTCCTTCAGGGTCTTTCCTCCTGATTTCAAATAAGAGTGAGTTGAAGAAGGCTTGCCTTCTTGCTATTGCAAACTGGATTTCAAAGCTATACCAAAAAAGGGATGTAAAATATTGCAATCCTTCATAATTGTGAAATATTTTTATATAGGTTAAATAAAAAAAACATTAAAGTTGACCTTTTTTTCACTAGAAAATTAAGTACATATATGTATGTATGTGTGTGTATATATATATATATATATATATATAAAATACATAAATGCATATATCTACATTGTTAATTGCTGTCTAGTTGGTTCTGATCCATAGTGACCCTGTATAGGGTTTCTGCTGGTGAGCTTGAGCCACTGACCTTGTGATTCAAACCAATTTTGCAGTCCAGCACTTTAACGTAGAGCACCACACCAGGACTCCATGTCTACATTACGAAGCTTCATAACATTTGTGAAAAAAGGAATTAAAGAGAGAGTGCCTAAATGCCTCAAATATATGTGAATGGGTAAACTGGTACCTAAAAATAATGAAGTCCTGGTGTGGCGCTGTAGGATAAGCACTGGTCAGTTTGAACCACAAGCTTGGCAATTCAATTCACCATCTCCTTGGGAATCCTATACAGGGTTGATATGAGTTGGTTTTGACTCAATGGCATTTAACAACAACGCAATGTTAATAAAGAATCTAAAACAGCTATGACATGGATGATACTGGAGATTATTATGCTGAGTAAAATTAGTCACAAACAGACAAATATTGTATGAGACCACTATTGTAAAAATTTGAGAAAAGGTTTTAAATCTAAAAGACATTCTTTGCTGGTTACCAGGCTGAGAGGGGAAGTGACTGGCTGGAGGGTTTGTTGTTTGGTGCCGTTGAGTTGGTTCCCACTCATAACAACCCTGTGCACAACAGAATGAACACTACCCAGTCCTGGGCTGCCCTCACAATTGTTACGTTTAAGCGTATTGTTGCTGCCGCTGTGCCAATCCATCTCATTGGGGGTCTTCCTCTCTTTTGCTGACCCTCCACTTTACAAAGCATGATGTCCTTCTCCAGAGACTATTCCCTCCTGATAGTATACCCAAAGTATGAAGAGCTTCTAAGGAGAATTTTGGCTAAACTGCTTCCAAGCAGGATTTGTTGTCTTGGCAATCCACGGTAATTTTCATATTCTCCAACTCCATGACTCAAAACGCATCAATTTTATGGTCTTACTCATTGTTCAACTTTCACATGTATATGAGTTTATTGACAATACTGTGCCATTGCTTGGGTCAGGTGCACCTTAGTCCTCAAACTGGTGTCTTTGCTCTTGAACACATTTAAGAGGTCTTGTGCAGCACAT